TCCTCTCTTTTCTAATTTTTCTCTTTTTCCTTTTTTATTATATTTTTTCAGATTTTTGTAAAATGCAAAATTAAAATAAAGACCTGATTTATTCCCAAAATTAAACTAATTATTTCCTTAAAATTGATTAATTCCTAATTTAAAGGACACTCATGACAAATTCAAAAATTAATAGTTAAAATGCAAAATGAACTATTTTTGTTATTTTCTTCTTTGTAAAGTAACTTAATTACTAATTAATCCTAAAATGTAAAATTAAGCCCTAAATGCACATGCCAAGCATATTTTTTTTTGTTTTTCATTAATAGAAATGCACAAACAAAAATGCAAACAATTAACATAAAATGTCACAAAATCCACAAAATTGCAAAAATAATGAAAGAAATCAGTTTGTTTGAATTTCGAGGAATAATTCATATAGGGCAAAAATCACGTGCTCACACTCATATTTTCACGACTTTAGATATGTCGCTATACTCGTTCGAGGACGAACGTTTGTTTTAAGAGGGGGAGGATGTAATGACCCGGCCAGTCGTTTTGAGTAATTTAACCCTGATCCCCTATTTATTTACTTCTCTACATTGTATCATGGTTATGTTACTTGTCGGGGGTGTTTGGTTTTGGTTCGGGTGAGTTTCGGAGTGAAATGGGACATATAGTCCCTAAGTTGGAGGCTTAAGTTGAAAGAATTGATTGTAGTTTGACTTTTGTGTAGACGACTCCGAAATAGAGTTTTGAAAGTTCCAATAGCTCCGTATGGTGATTTTGGACTTAGAAGCATGTCCGGATGTTGATTTGGAGGTCTGTAGGTCGTTTTGGAAGGTTGAGAAGTTCGATCGAGAGGTGACTTTATTAATATCGGGGCGGATTCTGATCCTGAAAGTTGGAATAGGTCCGTCATGTCATCTATGACATGTGTGAAAAATTTGAAGTCAATCGTTGTTTTGGTATGAGTCGATGTTAGTTTTGGAAGTCGGATGTTCATAGTTTCAATAGGCTTGAATTGTGTTACGATTCGTAGAATCGATGTTGTTTAATGTAATTTTTGGCCTCGAGTAGGTCCGTTCTGTGTTATGGAACTTGTTGGTATATTCAGAAGGGGTCCTTGGGGTCCCAGTGTGAGTCGTATGAAATCGGATCATTTTTGGACTTGATTGAATTGGTGAAGCAGCTGGTTTTTCTATTCTGGCTTCCTTCTACGCGTTCGTGAAGACTTTCCCGCAATCACATAGAGTCATTAGGGACTTCTTTGATTTTTCTCTTTGCTTTCGCAAATGTAAGGGCGCGATCACGAAGTTTGCTGAACTCTTTACTCGCGTTCGCGTATAACAAAGGTGAGGCTAGGGGCTGAGGCACGCTTGTGCATCGCGTTCGCGTGACCAGGGATGCGATTGTGTGTGTGGAGGAAGCTGGTCATCGCGTTCGCGACTGGCTTCACACGATCGAAGAGTGCTTTATTGAGTTTGGGAGAATTGTTCTACACGATCGCAAGTATTCGTCCGCAATCACGATAGAGGACGACTGGGCAGCAATATTAAAATTTCAAAATGAGCGTTTCATCTCATTTTTTATTTTTGGACCTAAAGAGCTCGGTTTGTGGTGATTTTTTGAGGGATTTTCATGGAAATCATCGGGGTATGAGATGCTAACTCGGTTTTGGCTATATTACATGATTCCATTGTTATTTTCATCACTTAATCAGTGATTTAAGTTGGAAATTTGGGGGAAAATTGTGAAACCTCTTAGACTAAGTTTTGGGGATTTGAAAGGCGATTTGAAGTCAGATTGAGTAATTATTGTATGGTTGGATTCGTTATCGAATGGGTGTTCGGATTTTGTAATTTTGGTCGGGTTCCAAGACGTGGGTCCGGGGTTGACTTTTGAGTTATCTTTTTATTTCTCTTTAAAGATTGCAACTTTATTGGTTCGAATAGCTTCCTATAGTTTATATTTATGGTATGAAGTTGTTTTGGCTAGATTTGAGCCGTTCGGAGTTGGATCATCGAGGGAAAGGCTTACTAGTGGATTGAGTTAGCGTGTTTTGAGGTATATGTCTTGCCTAACTTTGTGGATGGGGGGGGGGGGGATTTTCCATAGGATTGGTGTTGTTTTGTGTTAATTGTGATGTGTGGAAGCCGTGTATGCAAGGTGACAAATGTGGACACGGGCTAAATGTGGTAATTTATCGGTTTTAGCTATGTAGATTCCTTTCATGGCTTTAACTGAGTTACCATAATATGTTATATCCATCATCGTTAGTCTATCTTCGCATGTTTTACTTGTCTTATCCCTTACATGTTACTTGTCTT